TAAATCTACAAAAATAAAACTATTATTATTTTTTCAAAGGTATTACATTTTAAATCTTTCATCCTCCTGTATGTACCCATATCCTTTTTCTGAACAAGAAATTAAATCATATAACAAGAAATTAAATCATATAACAACAAAAAAGAATGCATGGGCCGGCTCGGTGGCACACTGGAGAGTGCGCCGCTTGGGAGTGCGGCCGCGCTCCCACCAAGGATTCGGATCCCATGTGGAGACCGGTTCCCGTCACTGGCTGAGTGCGGTGCGGGCGCAACACCGAGGGTTGCAATCCTGTTGCCGGTCCCCGGTACGGGTGCGACACCGAGGGTTGCGATCCCGTTACCAGTCAGTAAAAAAGACAAAAAGGAAAAAAAAAAAAAAGAATGCACTGCCATCTATTTTGAAAGATTAAAACATTTTTTCTACATTAAACAGTTGCTGAAAATATCATTAAGCAGTTGCTGAACATATCAGGAATATATTGGTTATTTTCAGGAAGACATTTATTTTAAAAGTTTCCCAAATTTTTCTGGAAATTTTCAGTCACCTAAATCCATATCTGATGTGTAAGACACTCTATTGTTTCAAATATTCTTCATATGGCATGTTTCTCTAGCTCCTTTACCATCCCAGTCAAGGTCTTCTAAGTGCACACCATTTAGTTAAAGTATCACTTTTAAATTATTAGATCCTAAACTATGCACAGTATTTCTCTATAAAAAGATGTATAGAAATGCTGTGTCTTTAGTGATTGCTTCTGAGACTGTTTCAGCTTTTTTGACAGCTCAACAGCCATATGTATGTGTGTTTCAATATAATAGCTGTTATTCAAGATCTCTCTCATCTGATACTTTCCAAATTTTACCGTTTCACATAATATCTTTATTTCCTGTTTTCTTGTTTATTGAAGGTATTTTTTTCTAGCTATGTAACATCTTGAATCCTAATTCAATACATTAGCTACATGAGTATTAGCTTTGCTTCTCTCATCATCCAAGCTATTGAGAATTAGATTTAAAAACCAAACTTGGGCTGACATTATTAGAGATTATCCTTTGACACTGCTAATTAGCACTCTTATCCACAGATGTTCCATCCTGCTATGTTTTCCCTTCATTCAGGTCATATTAATTTTTTTAATTCACTTGGATGTTATTCAAGACTTTCCATAATATCATATTTTCTTAAGCATTATGTTTTATGTTTACAGATTTTTTATTGCTGCTGTCACCTAATTTTGCAGTTTCAGCAAGACATATTTTGTCCTGTTGTGATGTATGTACACACATATATAACTATATATATATGTGTACATATGTATATGTTTGTATTTAATGTGTGTATATATCTTTTTTCTTATTCCTTTCTTTGTCTCCCTCAATGTTCAAATTTTTGTTGTTGTTTTTGTTCAAGTTCAGTGAGCTTTCTCTCAAGTACATTTTTTGCAGTTCCAGTGAGGTATAGAATATCCCTTGTCAAGAGCTCATTATTCTGCTGTGCTAAACCTTTCTAGGTGGGAAACTCTTTGCTTCTTGAATCCTCTTTTCTTTTCAAAAGTCAAACCTTCAACTGGAAAAAAAAGAAAGAAAGAACATTTTTATGTCTCCATGTATTAGAGCTTTCTATTTAGGAACTTAAAAATGTTCTAGAAACATATTCTGGCTTTTTCCTGGTTTCTGATCATGTTTCTGATTGCACTTTCAGTAATTTTCCTGAAAGAGAACATGCTTGCATATTAATAATGTAAATTGTACACTAGAACAGAGCCATAAAAGGATGTCCGCAACTACCTCTGCATGTAGTAATGTCATTCCACATGTTATTATTCATGTTTCCTGAAATCCAGGGACCAGTACTTCCCTGTCTTCTTCAGAAAATCAACTGTGAGATTTTCAAACATGTTTGTGCTGTGAATAGCTAGTTCATATATTTTCCTTAGACTAAGGACTCGTTAAATAGATGCAAATTTATATGCATCATGATGCCACACCCTACAGCTTCCAGATCTGCTTTCTCAAATGCCAGATTTTCTGGTAGAGTACCCGTGACTGTTGCATTATTATACAATAGACATAATACAATTTATTCTCTTCTTTCTATATTCTGTTACGTGCTTCAGAATAGACAGTTGATACATTTTTTAAATTCCTCTTTCAACAGGCAAGAAAACCTTTTTCAGTTCCTCATTAGAATATTTATTTCTGCTCTATGATGCCCCTTTACTTATGAATATGTATATATGTATGATTAGCATTTGTGTCTGTATCATTCATTAGCTTTATGATTTGGGGCAACTTACACTCTGGGACTCAATTATTTATTTTTAAATTATTTAAAATAATAATTTCCCCTATAAAGTAAGGAATTTAATGCCTTCTACCTTATAATGTTGTATAGATTGATCAATATACATTATGCAGGTATTCACTATAGTACATTGCATTTAAAAAGCAGATAAACTATTTTATTCATCATGAATTTCCTCATGGTCTAACAAGAGTGCTTCAAATCACAGCTAAGCCTAAAATAGTTTATCCATTGATCTGGTGTCTCCATAGAAATATTATCTAAACCAGTGGCTCTTAAACTTTTTTATGCATTAACGTCACCAAACCATCTGTATCCTTAAATCTTTTGGCTATTATGTACGTGTCTAAAATGTGCATTGTTTCCTCTCTCTGTCTTCCCACTGTGTTTCCTCCCCTTTAGTTTGGATCTATTCATTTTTTAAACAGGTTTCTCAATTTAAGAACCAATAGTAGCCTCTCCTTAATAATTGCCCTTTCATGTTCCCTTGTCCATTTCATGAAATGGAAAAAAAAAAAAAAAAAAAATTGCACATACCCATGTTATCCATTAAGGAAATGTGACTCTCTCATGGTGGCTTTACTAAGTCTATCTTGTTTTGCTTATGTCTGTCATAGATAACACAGCCAGCATTCTGACAAGGCGGAGGAGATTTAGTCGAACTGTTCAGGATGTGTATTATCTGCCCATTATGATCTCTGATGGTGGAATCCCCTCTCTCAGCAGCAGCAGCACCCTCACCATCAGGGTTTGTGCATGCGAGAGAGATGGGCGTGTGCGGACCTGCCATGCAGAAGCCTTCCTGTCCTCGGCTGGCTTGAGTACAGGAGCCTTAATCGCTATTCTTCTCTGTGTTGTCATTCTCCTGGGTAAGTCATTCTAAACCCTAAGGTTGCATAGTAGCAATTCAAAATAAGAGAGAATCATTTTGGCAAAATTTAAGGATCAGGAATGCATAATGTGGGTAGCAAAATATTGCTGCCCAGACTTCAATTAGCTTTTTCAATACTGTAGTTCATCTGGAAATAATATGATTTAAATGTGATGAAAAAGTTGGAATATCAGGAAAAAAGATGAAATTCAAAAGAAATCATTTTTGAAAGTATATACTGTGTTTTAGAAATAATTAATATTGAAATATTCTGGGAGCCATGTTGAAAGGACTTTTGAAATTTATTTCCAAAAACCTAAGTGGCATCATTCTAAAATGATCTGACCAGGAACAACCATGCTTAGCTTTTGAGATCAGATAATATCAGCACGTTCACGTTGGTATGGTCCTAGGATGAATAAGTGTAGAAATCTAATGTACAGCATGAAGGCTCTAGTTAATAATAATACTGTACTGTGTACTGGAAATTTTCTAAGAGAGATTTCAGGTGATTTTACCATATGCCCCCAAATGGGATGACTATGTAAGATAATGTTAATTTGCTTGAATGTAGTAACCATTTCACTACATACCGTGTTAATATATCAATAAAATAAATGCATAAAAATAAATAAATAAATAAATAATAAAATGAAACAAATCTCACAAAAATAGAAGTCATGCAGAAATTACTATCAATACAAAATATTTAGTTAATCATCAGTGTTAGCTAAGTTTTGACATACTGACTCTACATGATTTGGGCCTTAGAGATACTAAATTTTATTAAATTAAATTATAATAAACTAAAATCAATAGGGTTATTTTTTAAATTTGATATTTGCATTTCATTTCATTTTATTAAAAAACCTTCTCTACTTTTATATTATCTGCTGTAATAATTTAAATATTATCACAGCCACATTTGAGGCTGTTATTACTGTCAACTCTTTATAATGCTTTTTAAAACAAAACAGGAAATTTTGATTTTGATTACAAGAAAGTTAGATGGAAAGGATCTTTCTGCTTCTTGTTTAAAGTGGGTAAATGTTCATTTTTCCAATGTCTCCTTGCCCTTTTTTTTTTTTTCTTAACAACCTTATCCTTTACTCCTTTCTTAATACTGTGCATACATTTTTAAAAAATTGTATGTTCTGGTGAGACAGAGAAATTCTTGCAAGGAGATGTCCCCTTGTTTTGCTCCTGGGTGGACGATAAATTGCTTGTATAGATGGGGTGGAGAGTAAGGTGGAATGATGCTGAAAAGAAGAAGGGATGTAGGCAGGGGTGAGACATCCTGGGGCTTTGTTGAGCATGATGAAGATGGTGGGATTTGTTCTAGGCATTTAAAGAAAGTTTTAAAGCAAGAGAGATCCATTATAAAATTTGGTATTTGGAAAGCAAGCCTATAAATGAAGAAAAGATCTCATGGTGGGAAGAGAGCATGTAAGCAAACCAATTAAGCAAAAAATGCAGTTGTCT